ATTATTTCAGTCTCTTGAATCCAAAAGGTCCAAAATGTTTTTTCCAGTTTGTCAAATATGACAATTAGCTGCTTTGATCAGTTTGATATGATTGTAAATGAAACAGCGTTCAGTGTTATTCTGGAGCTGTTTGAAAAGTTCACCTTATTCTTTGTTGACGTTTCAAAAGAAGTGGTTGGTTCATGAATCAATCCAAATAATGTGATCATGAATCTTTATTCTGAGCTCTTCATAAAAAGTCCAAGTACACATTAGATGAGATGATCTCCACTGTTCTGACCTCAGTGTTGGCTCGTCCTCTCAGGCAGCATCAAACAAACATCTGCAGCTGGAAACAGCTGTTGTTAGTGTTGAATGATTGACAGATGGATGAAGCAATCAGGACGCACAGACTGTCTCCCAGTCTCCATACTGGTCCTGGTGGTCTCTGCCTTATTGTGAGCAGCTGTAGTAACACACTGCTGAACTCTGTGAGGGCCGAGCAGGAGGAGTCTACAGACTGATCCTGGACTGAGACTCTCCTTCAGAGGAAACTTGGAGAACAGCTCGGGACAGTCGAGTGTGTGGTTTCTCACAGGACGAGCGAAATGTTGGACTGATCCACAGAGAGTCCACGTTCAGTCCAGGACCAGTTTAATCTGAGTCTGCTAGTCAGGACTACAACTCAGAGAGAGAGAGAGACTCAGTGTGTCTCTGATGTAATAATAAAGGATTTAAACTATACCTCTCTCTCTCTCTGTGTCTCTCTATTCCTCCCTCTCTCTCTCTCTCTCTCTCCTTCCCTCTCCCTCTCTCTCTCTCTTTCTCTCTCTCTCTCTCTCTCACTCTCTGTCTCTCTCTCTCTCTCTCTCTCAGGTGTTCACATTACCCAGAGGATGTACGGCTGTGAGTGGGATGATGAGACTGGAGATGTTAAAGGTTATTATCAAGATGGTTATGATGGAGAAGACTTCATAGTTCTGGACACGAAGACATGGACGTGGGTCGCTCCACAACAACAGGCTGTCGTCACCAAACAGAAGTTGGATAAAGACAAAGCTCAGTTAGAGTATCTTAAGAACTACTTCAACTGTGAGTGGGATGATGAGACTGGAGATGTTAATGGTTACAGTCATGTTGGTTATGATGAGAAGACTTCATAGTTGGACACGAAGACAATGACGTGGGTCGCTCACAAACAGGCTGTCGTCACCAAACAGGAAGTGGAAAATAAAAAAGCTCGAGTTAGAGCTTAAGAACTACTTACACAGATTGTCCTGACTGGCTGAAGAAGTTTGTGAACTATGGGAGGAGCTCTCTGATGAGAACAGGTAGGATCAAATGACCTGATGGAGTTGAATTCTGACAATGTTCATCTTCTTCTTTTCTTGTTTATCTTGTAATGAACATATTTCACACATGTTTCTATCACACATGCTCTGTCTTCATCTTTAAGCTTCCCCTTACCTTTCCCTTCATGTTAGATCTCTTTCTCTCTGCTGCTCATCGCTCTCTCTCAAAGTTTCTCTGTGTTTTTATTGTACTTTCTCTCTCTCCTCTTCTTCTTCTTCTTCATCAATCCATCTGAACCCCCCTCACCTCTCTTCTTCTGTTTCTTCCCCTCTGACCCTCTCTTCTTTGAATTATACTTTAATAAGGTTGATTTTCATTGTTGACTCACTGGATTTTAAAGTCCCTTTTTTTCCCAGTACATTTAAAAAGTGTCATCAAACATGAGTTGTAACAGTATTTAAGAGTAAATCCTGATAAAGAAACTCTAATCTGTCTTCCTGTTTGTCCTCCAGACCTCCCCACAGTGTCTCTCCTCCAGAAGACTCCCTCCTCTCGGGTCACCTGCCACGCTACAGGTTTCTACCCCAACAGAGCCATGATGTTCTGGAGGAAAGATGGAGAGGAGCTTCACGAGGACGTGGACAAGGGAGAGATCCTCCCCAACCACGACGGCTCCTTCCAGATCAGCGCTGACCTTCAACTGCCCTCTGATGACTGGGGGAAGTACGACTGTGTGTTTCATCTCTCTGGTGTGAAGGAGGACATCGTCACCAAACTGGACAAACGAGAGATCAAGACCAACTACGGTAAGACCTCGATGAGAAGTGATGAAAGAGAGGATTTGACTGTAACAGTCGTGTGATGGAGGGAAAGTTTAGTTGTGACTTTTCTTTCTTTCAAACTCTTCAAATTGTAAAAGAGAGAAAAAGAGAAAGGTTCAGCTGGATGATAATGTTCATTAAAGTTTATTAAAGTATTCAAATGAAAGCACTCATCATTGTGTCAACATGTGTCTGATGAACACTGAAAGAGATTTGAAAAAGACACAAAAAAGGACCAAAAGATTAAAACATAATCATAAAGCTGTGCAGAAAAGGTCCAAAGTGGAGCATAAATAATGATCAGAATGCAGGAAAAGAAATGTCTGATGCTAACATTTTTCTGAGGGGAGACCCCAAGATGCAGTTTTCAATTAAAAGTTGAAAAAAAAAAAAAAAGAATCATGTGAGAGAATCGTGATCTCAGATCTCAGGGAGAAAAATCATGATTCACATGTTAGCATCTCTTTTTCATTTACAGCCACATCATTTCATTTCAGTTTCTCTTTAGATTTTATTTTTTAGTGTTTTCAGTTTTTAAATCCATCAAGAAAACGATTGAATCAAACACAGTTAGAGTGCTGTTGTTGAAGAAAAGTCAAACATGTTTATTTTGAGAGATTAAAGGCACTGTGTTGACTTCTCAAAGTTAAAGTTTTAAAGGATGAATGTGTGACATGTTACACATAAATATATCAGAAATCCAGTCTATCCTGTGTGAATGTCTCTGAGTGTGGAGGAGGCGTGGCCAAACAGCAGTTTGTTTTGGTTTGCTCAAGGGCGACATCTACTGGATCAAAAAGTCACTCATTCTTCCTTTAGTTGAAGAGAAGATCAAGTTGATGAATTACTGGATGTATAAATATATCTGTCAGTAAATCATTCACGGTGAGTTTTCTTTTCCTCGTTCAGTCAAAATGAGTTTGAATCCGTTTGTCAAAATCTCTCAGAGCGAAACATCAACATATAAAGAAATCAGCATTCAGATAAAGGACGACAACACGACTGGAAGATGAATCAAACATAGATACAGGATTTATTTACAGACAAGTGGAGATTCAAATGAAGAGCAGCAGGACAAACAGTGTTTATTTACAGGATGATGATTGTCTGCTTGGCACATGTTCTCCTCCTCTAACCTGCTTCATCTGCACAGGTTGTAACTGTGGTTTGTTGATTTGTGCTCAACAGTGAATCCCATGAACACCGTCATCCCCATCATCGCCATCATCGCTGCACTCGTTCTTCTCGGCCTCGCTGTCATTGGATACAAGAAATACAGAGGCAGAAAATGTAAGAGACACAAACTTTGTTCTTTTTGGTGTTTTAAGTTTTTAAATGTTATTCTTTGAGTTTATTAAAGGTGCACTTTGTAGATTTGGTAGAGAAATGTGGAAGTTGAAGAAATGTACAGATTCTGTGGTATATGTTCATAACTCTATACACAAACTGTCCTCAGAGGAACAATGTTTGAAGATAAAATGCTCTGAGAGAAGTTATGGTGGGGGGCTTCAACAGTGACACTGTAACTCTCCTGGTAGCTTTTTAGCTCCAAACAGAGTTCCAGGGACCCATTTTTCTTTTGAGTAAAGTTTGTGTATTCAGTTCAGGAAATATAACAGAGAATTGTTTCACTTCTCCAACTTTCAACTTTCAGTACCAAATCTACATATTGCACCTTTAAGACTTTAATACCTGTTGTATCAAAATCTGTTTCAAACAGTAAGGAAGTTTTCCAGCTGTGTCGTATTTTATGACTTTTAAGGGCGTTTTCACATCAGGCATGATTGTTTTGTACAGTACCCGAGCAGGATTATCCTCCCCTCCCCTCTCCCCCGATGGTCCCCACATTAGTAACATTGTTCTGTGTATCGCGGTCCACTTCCTTGAGCACGGTTGTGTTCACATCTCACACGGACCAAGCGGACTCGGGCACGGTAGCTGAGTACAGTACGAGTACGGTATGTTTGTGTTCACACTGATCAAATGAACCGGACTTTAGGGTCCAGTGTACTCGGATCTGGACTTAGATCCGGGCCTGGGACCCTGATGTAAAACCCCCCTAAGAAAGAGAGATGAATTTAATATTGTTTGTTTGATGTTTTTATTATTTATTTAATTTTAGTACACGAGACAAAGTGAGCTGTGTGCTTAAGTCGAGATACATGTGTCAGTTGAAGGTTTAAATCCTGGAGTTAAGTTACTAGAAAAGGGGAAGAAATGATTTTCTGGCTTTCTGACCTACGTGAGAACTAAAACGACCCGTCTTTGTTTTTGTATTTCAGCTCATGTGAAACGTCTCCTGAAAACAGCTCTGAGCTCGCTGAGAAACTGAATCCAGAGCCTACATGATGAACACACCACCCTGCACCCTGTGAGTTTCTCTCTACGGGACGTGGACCATTCTCACTGTTAAAAACGCCGTTTTAAACGCCTTGTTAAAGAAGCTTCTTTGTTAAACTTGTGTGAGGTTGAAATCAGTGTAAATATGTAGCTTTGTAGAGCTGATCTCTCCAAACACTGATGTGTTAAATGATTGTTCGGTTTGACCGTCTTCATCTCTGCAGGTTTCTTGAAACATTTTGCTCAGGAACAATCAGAGTGAAGGTCGTCTGTGTGTGTTACTGGAGTCCACCTCTCTCACACTGCAGTCACCGTAACTCTCTGCAAGATGAGCCAGAATAAAAACAGACGAGTGGAGTTTCATCTCAGTGGTGAACTGTCTTAAATTTGTACCAAACACAGATAATAATTCAATCTGGTTCCTTCCACGTCTTTAAAAGGCCTCCCTATGATCACACACGTGAAATAAAATCATCAGTTCAAGATTCATCTTCCAGTTGTGTAAATAGTCTGCTTGTACATTTTGTATACATTTTGTTTTTATTACTAACAAACCAAAGCAAATAATAATTCTTGTCTCTGAGTTTTTTTAACAGATAAGGAGAATGTTTTTTTTTTTTTCATAATATTCCTCTTTTGATTTATTTTGAAACATTTTTATTAGAGATGTCAAACGATGACAATTTTTAATCACGATTAATTTCTAAATTTAAAAATTTGCATGTTTGAAATAAATTGTTGGGCTTTTATTTTGAAACATTTGTACTGTCTTAAGCTGAGAGTACTTTACCTGCTGTTTGAATTTAGCCCTGCTTTTATTTTGAAATAGAGTAAGGAGCTTCCTGTAGATGGAAGGTTAGGACATGAACTAAAACACAGAAACAGGAAGTGGTTATGGATCCTAAAGTGAGGTCAAACAGCTCAAAGGAACGGTGACAAAGGTCAATGCGTGATGTCATCAGGTCAGTGTGTGATGTCATCAGGTCAGTGTGTGATGTCATCAGGTCAATGTGTGATGTCATCAGGTGGATATTACTGTCTGAGAGTTTGTTAAAGTGAAATGAGACATTCAAAGATGCAGCAGTGTTCTTCTTTTACATCAGTGAGACTACAGGGAGACACTGAGGACCACTATCTACGGAGAGCCTGAAGGGACAAAATAAGATGAGATTAATCGTGATGAACTCGTTAATGCTGACAGCTCTAATTATTGTTTTATTTTGATCAGAGATCCTAAACTGTTTGTGGGAGGCGTCTCAGCTATCCAGTTGAAATCTTGTATATAATTCCTGCTCGTGTTCAGGAACGAGGGATGTTTTCTCTCTGAGTTTTGTGAATGGAAGTGGAAGATGAATTCTCAGAATCACTTCCTGTGTTGGGTTAAGTTAACTAGTGGTGTTGAGCTGCTGTTTCATACCTTTGTACTGTAAATGATCTGTTCAATAAAGTCCCTCACACTCCAAATGTCTGTGTGTTTCTTCACTTCAACATTCATGGAAACACTTACACAGCTGTAGCTACCATTGTGGGAACATTTAGTTTGATTCCAATAAACTTTATGATCTTTACTTTGTTGATCTTATAGACGGATTATTCACATGTTCTGAAACGTCTGAACAAAGATATTTAAATTAGCCGCTCAGTTCAGTAACATCTACATTGTGATGATATAAAAACATTTGTTGGAGCCAGTTTGATGTGTGCTATAGTGTGTGTGCTGAGTTTGGTTATTATTGCTGCTGCTGCTACGTCACCTTTGCACCTGGGCATCATGGGTAATCAGCCACACGCAGCTAGAAAGGGGAGTGACAGGTGAACAGGTGCAGAGAATCAGGATTCAGGTGTGTGTTTGTTTCTAACCCTGTGTGGTTGTGTGAACATGTTTGAGGTTCCTGTCATGTTTGGTGTTTTGATTGTTTCCATCCTCACCAGCTTGTTTTCAATCCGTGCATTTCTCCGACCTTTTGTAGACGATTTAAAGACGACTGATTAATAATTCAGAGTTTGTGGAGGCGACATTCGATCAAAGAAGTCGTAAAAAAGGATCACTAAAAGTAATGAGTGTGAGTGAATGTCTTTAAAATGCTGAACCAGTGAACCTCCAGCTGGTGTGAACATTCAAACACATGGATCCAAGAACCATTTAACCCTTTATTGGCTACGAGCACAAGGTGGATGGATGGACGGATGATCACTGTTCAATAAATAAAGAGAAATCATTACGCTGCCACATGAACTTCAGGATAAATGGTAAATGGACTTGAGCTTGTATATTTCTTTTCTAGTCTTCTGACGACTCAAAGGGCTTTTACAACACGTGTCACACCTACACATTCACACACTGATGGTAGAGGCTGCTGAGTAAAGAGTCCATCACAAGTAAGTGATCACATTCACACACCAGGTCCTTACACACTTATGTTCATACATTTGAAAAGAAACCTTAAAAGATTCAACAGAGAAGTGAAACTGTCGTCTAGAAAGCGTCTCTCTGCAGCTCTCTCACCTTTCCTACGATGCTGCCCACGGTGATGATGGATCCTTTGGGTGCTCCACAGGCCACCAGAGCCTGAGCCACAGCCTGAGTGATCAAGAAGGAGCCCTGGAAGAGACGCAGGAGCAGGAGTGAGTTCATCTCTTCACAGTAAATCAGCACCAGAGAAAAGAGTGTTTGAAATAATAACAAAAATCATTCAGCTCTGTGGACAAAACACAACAATCCTAAACGTTCTTCAGCCTCAATAAAGACATTTTCACTCATGCACTACTGAAAGTCTTCATTATTTTCAGGCAGTCAGAGGTGGTGGACAGAGCAACAGAGTCCAACTCTATGATGACAGTTTTTTTGTACATACTGGAGGACAGAAAACTTAAGGCAGCGGTTTAATAACGTGCACAGAGATCACACATATCGCGGTCATACAGTCTCTGGTTGTGCACGGGTCCTGAGGTAGAAACGTTACCACCCCCTCTTGCTCCCTCACAGTGAATTTACCTGAATACTTCCTGCTGCGTTCTCACATCAGCTAACCCGACTTCATGCAGAAAAATGATCAGGGGGCTGCCGGCTAAAGAATTCCAGATAAAGTCGGAGTAGAAATGTGTCTGTTTGCGTTCACTCGTGCAGTTTTTTAGAAGTTTTGTGAGAGAATCATTTTATGAATTCTTTTCTTCAAGTGCAACAACGAGAAACTTGAATCTTCGGTTGTTTCCTGTTGAAGACAACAGAGACTGATTTCTTTCTTTCTGATTCTTCTCACAAAGTCGACCCACGTTATGTCTCAACAGCAGTGATGGAAGAAGAGTGCTTTAAGAAGTGCTGCAATTTGAGCACAAATGAACCGGCATCGAGGGCCAACATCTAAAAATATGAATCATTTGTAACTTGTAATTCTGGTGCCGACTAGTGAGGGTGATGACTTCCAACCTTTAAGTGGACTAACGGGCACATCCCTAGTTATTAGATTGTGATGTCATCCTCTGACGTTAACCTGATAGACTCGATTACACGCTGAACTTGCTTCATACCTTCAGGTTGACCTGGATGACTCTGTCAAAGTGATCCTCCTCCATGTTGAGCAGGAAGTGGTCCTGCGTGATGCCTGCTGCGTTCACACACACTGAGGGAGGCTGGAAGTAATGAGTGTGTAGAGGAACAGAACAATAACTTACAAGGAGAGAAAAACAACACGTGGAATAGCCCCTCCAGCATGAAAACACACAGAGAGAAAAGTACCTTTTTCTACAGAAAGGTTGCTGATTATGATGGAAATGTAAACACATGTTGTGTTGGCTTGTCTTCCTGTCTGTATCACACCTGTATTCTGGTGACCAGCTTCTTCACGCTCTCTTTTGATGACACATCCACCACAGCCGCCATGTGACCCTGTCCTCTGAGCTCATTCTGCAGACCCACCATGGTCTCGTTGGCAGACTCCTCGCTGATGTCTGCCACCACCACGGAGGCGCCCTCAGAGGCCAAACGCTGACATACCGCCCGTCCGATCCCACTGCCTCCTCCTGGGAGGGAAAAGAGTAGCATGAAGTTACCAGAGTGACAGAATGTTTTAAACACAACGCTGCAGAGGAAAGACTGAGTGTGACAGAAGATCCACTCTGGAAGTATCTGAAAAAACAAATATCAATCAAGGACGACAAGAAAACACACAGGACAGGAAGCTGACTTGATGTGATTGATTTTCAGTTTGATTAGCCCAACAGTTCAGGGCTACATGACCAATTGTTATTCACAAATCATCTGCGCCCAATCACATTTCTTTCTTTCTTCTGTCTTCAAAAACCTTGAGTCCACTTTTCTATGTGAAAATGTAAGAGGACAAGTGATGCTTCATCATTCATAATACAGCTTTAATGTTTATTCCATCAGTCAAAGAAGACAATTAATAAGCCACAATTCTCATAATACATGTATCCTTTCAGTCACTCACTGTATCCACACTGTATTGCATTTTTTACAGTTTTGAACCTTAAGTCGGACAAAACCAGACATTTAAAGATTTAAACTCTGAGGCATTTAAACATGTTTCCTTTTTCAGTATTTTCACAATTCAACGGCAGATCATTTCATTCTGAAATGGTTGCAGGTCTTATTGATAGCATACACACAGCCAGAATGACAGCTACACTTTCACCTTCACTCTCATTTCAAGTCATCAAACTTAATTCAGTCCGATCTGCTCGAGGTACTGATTTAGAAATCACTGATAGAATCACGGTTACACTAAAATAATGAATTCATTGTCAGCTTACTTTGGAGATCAAACTTTTTGATATCAGAAGCTACTTGCAGTAGGTAGCTGCTTTGATTTGGTGAATTGAAGAAGATTGCAGAAAAACACACGGCTTTGAACGCAACATCTTGAAAAGGGAAAAGGGCATGTCCTTAAACGTCTCACTTCACACAACACCATGTATCTTACAACATATATTTACCAGTGACCAGCGTCAACCTTGATATCAGCCGTGTGGCAGCCGTCATACTCCCATCATGTTTCCCCCCTTATGTTGTTGTAGCTTTCGGGTTGTCCACTAGATGGCGCCCAGTGATGAAAAATGTTACGTGTTCCGGTTCCGGTTGATGACGAGCCCAGCAGAGTTTAACTAAAAGCTAAGGAGGCGAGGAGGGAATCATCTATTACAATGCTTTGTCATTTTATTCATCAAACTGACCATAGATTACAGTCACAGTATGAACAGGATGGAATATCCCTCCGTTTTAATACAAGGTTTATTTTGAAAGGGTTTAACGGAAGTATCTCTTCGCTACGTGTATCTAACTTGACTCTGCGGGTGTAGTTCTTCATTGAGGCCACTAGATGGCGCACGATACTGAATACGCCAATGTAGAACAAGAAACACATTTAAAAACAGCTACACGGACAGAATACATGATGTTGATTCAAATGAACATTAAATACATTTTTATCTTGGACAACAGATATTTTATAACTTAATTGGCCATAGATTAAAGCGTTGTGTTGTTCACTCCGTCAAACATTACCTTCATAAAGTGCAGCTAGCGTTAACAAGAGGGAGCTGTAAGGCGA